GTTCGCTAATCTTCTTCACATCTTTGTGACGTGACAGCAACTCTCCTTCCCGTCTGACAAAATAACATACACGTCAATGACAACATAAACCAAACTAAATTTAACATACACAGGCTCTAAAAACCCTTTACAAGATTTTTATATCACTTCACTGTATGCTGCTTATGGTTATTCAGCCTTTGTAGGCCAAAGGCATGACATCAAGCTACATCGATAAATGTTCAATTTCACGATTCGTAGGCGAGTAGTTTCGCCGTGAAGTTTTAGACATTGGTGTCATTTCTAGAAGTGTGATGTAATGTTCTATGAGTGTTGACCATGAAAAATGTGGTCTAGTTGTTCCTGACAAAAACGAATTGGGTGAGGGGGGATTGATGTAAAGTTTAGTGTGCGCATGTCAGCTAGTACAACCTCTTTTCCCTGCTTAGCTTTGCTTGAAGCCAACGAGTTCCTCGGAAATATCGCAATTGATATTTCACAANTTATATCACTTCACTGTATGCTGCTTATGGTTATTCAGCCTTTGTAGGCCAAAGGCATGACATCAAGCTACATCGATAAATGTTCAATTTCACGATTCGCAGGCGGGTAGTTTCGCCGTGTAGTTTTAGACATTGGTGTCATTTCTAGAAGTGTGATGTAATGTTCTGTGAGTGTTGACCATGAAAACTGTGGTCTAATTGTTCCTAACAAAAACGAATTGGGTGAGGGGGGATTGGTGTAAAGTTTAGTGTGCGCATGTCAGCTAGTACAATCTCTTTTCCCTGCTTAGCTTTGCTTGAAGCCAACGAGTTCCTCGGAAATATCGCAATTGATATTTCACAAGTCCCCGGAAAAGGCGTGACAAATTGTTAATTTTGTCCGCAAGTTGTGTTTAGTTGCGTTACAGGTTACGTCATTGTCATGTGCTATATACTCTCATCGACTATAGCTCTCGGTCAACCAATAAACGCGAGAGATTCCCTCAGTTATTGCATATAAGTTTATCACCTAGTGAAGTCTCGATTGGCTTCTTTCTGTTTACGAGTAAATAAAGTCCGTTGGTGAGAATTTTCTTCATCCAGTCTGTAGGGAAACAAGGGGAGAAAAATGTAACAGTATTAACATGACTTGGTTGGCTATTTGCTGGGACTAACCTGCTGGAAGAAAACCATACAAAGCTTGCTGGCGGATTATGGAAACAAAGGAAAACCATTATACTCACTTTTTAAAATCACTCGTCAGCGCTTGTGAAATCTTGAGTGACTTTCTGATCACCTGACGGTATGTTGGTGCCGATAATGTGGGTGTGATTAAGGTCAATTGATCAAAAAGTTTGCAACAGGTTAGCTTACAACAGGGATCAATCACTTACTTGCTAATTGCTTTGGTTCAAATTGGTGGTCTAGTATTGACCTACAGCATTAAAACCACTATTGGTTATTTAAGCAATAAAGTACTTTTTCCGTGGCCTCATCTAAACACGAGGAGGGTTGGGAGAATTCGAGACAGTTATGCAAACCTTCGACTACGTCTCGGGTTTGCATAACTTTCGACAATTCTCCCAG